CATCAATTGCATAAAAGTGTTTCATTTCACTTGAAAAATTAACAAAATTGGCATGATTTAATTAAGCTGAAATATTATTTTCGATTGTATTAAACTGAATTTCACTGAAACAGACAAGGAAGACGAAACGCAATCAAATCTCTATTAGTGTTTCTATCGAAAAGGATTTATAAATCTTGAAAAATTAGGCCTTTTTCCATGGAATGAACAATAAATATTATTATTTTTTTAAAGTCTTTTCTACATAATCGTTAACTGACACCAAGTTCTCCGTTACAATATTATATTAATTGCAGTAGTTTTTATTCTTCATTTTCAGTGTCTCCCTATTAAAGATACATATACGTGTGTGTGTGTATGTAAAATACAAAATATGAAACAAATTACTGACAAAATTATTAAACTTAATTGGAACCAATTGGCAATAGACCTTTAAATTCATAATTTTTAATTAAACACATATCTTCTTCAAGGATAATTTTCGCACCATTTTGCATCACTCCGCAGCATGTTAAGCCACTCCTACCCTGCAATTTCTCTGCACTGCGAAAATGCTTTTAGCAGTTACTTTTTAGCAGAAACTTATGCAGTTATTGCGCATCACTCTTTTTCTGCTTGCTCTGCCAAGGAAAGTCACGTCTTTTCGCTAAACTTCTTTTTTTGTTATCTAAAATGTACACTTCTTATATAGGAATTGCGGGAGGGGCGTTAAGCATCCTCGGTGTTGCCCCAATTTAAGCGGAAATGTATTTTTGAATAAGTGTTCCTGTTCAAAATAAGAATTGTATTTTTACCATCAAGCTAATTTTGATTTTTGCTCCAAACAGATCTATACAGCAGTTGTACGATCCATGACAAAAAGTGAGTTGGTTTCATCTTTCGCAAAGGCACGCATCATTCCCAGGCCCACATTCACACACATATATATATGTGTGTGACATGCACACACACACACACACACACATATATATATATATATATGTGTGTGTGTGTGTGTGTGTGTGTGTGTGTGTGCGTGCATGTGTGTATATAAAACAATAATATATTTTTAGTAAACTAATGGTCTCTAACCCAAGTAGCACATGACGTAGCCAAGACGTTGCAGACTAGTCGGAGAGGTTGCAAAGTGGTCGTGGTAACTTTTACGACATCTTTGCAACGTAGCGAAGAAAAAAAAATATTTGCCGTCGTCGCTAAAACGACATGATATGACCGCTTTTAGACGTGGTCGTTTTAGCATCTTTTTCATAGTTCATCAGCGTTTCTTTTAGAATGAAAAGAGACTAAATCTGCCCTTTCAAGAATCTGATGTCCGCATAAGACTTACTTTGCAATGTTTCATTACTTTATTTCATCTAAATATATTCATCTAATGAAATATGAATTTAATATAAATACTTCAATTATTAAGTTTAATTAGTACTAAAAATAGGTGCTAAATTATTGTTCAAAATTTTGTTAAAGTAATTAAGTATTTTTTTATAAATATTATAGTAAAATATTTAAAAATGAAACTAATCTATAAAGTAAGTTATTAAGTTATGCATTCTAAATATTTTTTTAAATCATATTTCCGAAATCAATGCAAATCACATGTTAGCAATTATTTCACTGCTGAAATATGACTTTATTTTTGAAGTAAGGACGAATTTATTTGAATTAATATTCTGACAATATTGCAAAGATATGATTGTGCGTGAAGATGTATTCACGGATAAAAATTGAGCGATTTTAAGAATTCCGAGAAAACGTCCAATGTTGAAAGACGATGCATATCCATGCATATTTAACGGCTGTCTAATATATATGACGGAAAACTCCCCGATAGTCAGGAGAGACAGAACGGAAAAAGTAATGGAAAAGGAGAAGAAATATTAACACTCTTAATGGAAAACGATAAAATTAATGGCTTAAATGTTGACAATTACTAATAAATGTTGACATCAAAATTAGAGAAACTGTGAACAAAAATACGAAATTCATTACCTATAAAAATTCTGATGAACTGTTTGTTATGTTTTTACGCATTCAAAAATGCTTAGTTTAATCCTAGTATGCGGTACACTTGGGATTTGGCGACATTGATATTACAAATGTTTTAGTGAGCCCGATAAATATTTTTTTGTAAATATAATCTTGTGTCGTAATTCTAGTCAGTTGAAATTATTCTTCTAGGCCATTTAAAAAAGATTCTATTAAATTATTAGAAGAACTGTCGAAAGGTTTAATGCAATTGTATAAATCGCTGAAAAGTTACACAATTGCTGTTCGACCGATTGGCATTCCATGTATATTATTTACTGTATGATTATATAAACGGAACATCTGATCTCGAGGCTTGAGCTCTTTGGCTAGCTGCCAAATTCGAACAAGTTAGTAACTGCGCATTAATTTCAGACTCCATCTTATATTCAGGAATATTTTCTTCAGGGTTTTATAATTCACCGTCGGAAATAAATACTGGAGAGCTTCAATACAGAAAGAAAACGATGTACAAGAATATAATGATGGCAGTTTATTTTGAATTGAGGAGAATCATCGTGGTAATGCCGAATTTCTGCTTAATTTGTATGTGAATATCTGCTCTACAAGACGACACGAAAATTTTGAATTTTGGGTACATCGTTTAAAGAAAATATCGGTTGCAACGTGCTAAAATCGTCCATGCAGTGAAATAATGTTCTGTTTTGGTGTTTTATGTGTTTCCGGTGATTAAAATTATATGGTGGTATTCTCCAATCTTCAGTGGTTCCAGCGGTGCCATATTTGGATACACGGATTCGGTTATAACGTCCTAAATGCCGTACCGTATATCATTCATATTAATCGATTATTATGTTTATAAATGACAGGTTGGTGTTCAGACTTTCCGCATATGATCGAAAAAATAATGTTAAGGAAACCTTAGCATTACTATGAAATATTGTAATTTATAATTATGTGATATTTAATTGTGTAATATTAAAAAACACTATTTCTTTATATTGATTGCAAATTGCAGTTTTCTTACTTGTCGTTTTGTTTCTATTCGTCCAAACACTGTGTAATTCGCGTTTTTTTAAATATTGCCGTTATTTTTGTCTATTAGATTATCTCAATGAATGTTGGAAATTAGGTTTTATTCTTTATTAAATTTAAGTATTTTCTTCGTTTACATTTTATGTGCTTGTGATAACAAAGAGATTCATAATAGATAGAAACAAAACATTTCATCTTGTGCTGTTTTACGAAGAGCTTACTTTAACGTACTTAGCTTACTATCGTATACTATATTATTTCAATTATTTCTGTACAGTATCAAAATGAAAGTTATTGATTATAAAAAAGTGTATGAAATGATCATTGTAACTACCCACTATTCTAAGACGTAGAAACTAAAAATGAATAAATACATTTACATATGATCGAAAGAAATGGTGTTAAGAAACACCAGCATTACTAGTAAATACTGCAATCCATAATTATTGCACTTTCAATTGCTTACTATTTAAAAAACACATTTTTTTTTACGAGTATTAATTTGAAATTTTAGTTCTGTTACCTTCCTTCTGCTATTTATACTTTCAAACACTGCTAGTTCATGTTTTTTCTTAAATAGTGCTGTCATGTATATTGTTTATTAGGTTATTATTTCATTTTATATATGAATATGGGAAGTTTTTTTTTTGGTTGTTAGATTTAGGTATATTTTTGTGTGAAATATTTTTGATCACATTTATTATCTACTTTATACAGTCTTTCATTTGCATATCTTGGAGATATAAAGATAATGGTTATATTTTTTTCTATAAAACAAGGATAAATTTAAACTTAAATTCAGGTAAAATACTGATTATGTTACCTTAGGCTTCCTAATTTATCATGATAGGGGTAATCATCTCTCAGGAAGTCGCCAGGGTTGTGTTGTTCTAAATAGGTGCGGGTACCGGACAACACCCTATTTGTCATATTAAGCCGTCCGGGCCCTGCATTAACCTGTCACCTGTCCCTGAGATTTAACATAAATAAATGTGATAATGCTGTTATAATCAGAAACGCTCTTTTTTTTTTTACCCGCATATATAGCTTTATTTTTATTTATGTCTGACTGAGTTTTATTTACTTAAAACCTACTATTATTGTTATATACTTATAATAACCACTTTGATAATTACTTACTCTTACATACTAAAGGATTAAGAAAAAAATGATGACATCTGAAATAATCGTAACTTAGAATTTAAGTTATTTAAAAAATATAGTTTAAAGTACTGAAATTAATTAAGGCTATAATTAAGTATGCATATTTAGTCTAAAAAGAAAAATTTGTGTTATCTTCTGTTTTTCAGGAAATGATAAAATATTTAAACTTTAGAAAAATACAAGGAATATAAAATTTTAAAAAGAAGAAAAATACATTAATTATTGAGCTTATTTTTCTATATAAATCAATATGTAACGACGATATAATAGGGCATAGTAACGACGTTTTCACAACTGTTGCAAAAAGATCGAATTCTGCGAATATTTAGGCGTCGTTAAGACGTCGTGATACGATGCTTTCACAACCAAAATATAACGTCGTCATATATAATTATATGAGAAAGAAGCAATAACGTCGTCTATTTAACATAAACCTCATCTGCAAAGACATCTTTGCAACGGTTGCAAAACAGTGGAATTTCGCGGAGATCTGGACGTCTTAAAGACGACATATGGCAACGTTTTTGCAACATGACTCGCGACCAGTTTGCAACGTTGTTACGACGTTGCCGTGCTACTTGGGAATGTAATTAATTAAAGATAAATTTAGTAATAACCTCTGATCTTTGACCTAAGAGTGAATGATATTTATTTAAAAGAAAGATGCTTATAAACGGAATTGAGCAGGCAATGAATCAGCAAAAACGTGCTCCATAATGCATGCAGCATGAGTCACGTTATTTTTTAATCTTAAGTTTTAAATAAAGTGCTATTTTGTTCGCTTGCAGCAGTATTTCTTTGATCAAATCGAGACAAAAATGTCTAGTGTCAAAAGAATTAGCAGTTGGAACTTAATTAAATTCCTTTGCTGCCCTCCTTGTCCAAGGAACATAGCTGAAAAAGTAGCCTTCATGCCCCCTTCCCCGCCTTCTTATGAAATTGTGTCTTTAGATGAACGACCGTCTGAAATTATTTTGAAAATATCTCTTGAAATTGAAGGTAATTATTTGAAGAATGTGCTGAGATATGATGTCCGTTTCGTTAAAACTTTGCTGAAAAATGACATCGTTGTGCTTTATATTAAATGCGTGGAAAAAGCTCCATTTACTATAATCTATAGCCACGGAAATGCTGTCGATGTTGGCCTAATACTTAGTGCTTGCATAAATCTTAGCTTGTGCGTGAAATGTGATGTTGTGACTTATGACTATTCAGGATATGGCCAAAGCAAAGGGAAACCATCAGAAACAAACCTTAATGCCGACATTAGAGCGGCATTGGACTATACATTAAACATTCACGAGCCAAATTTGGAGAAAATTATTTTATATGGACAAAGCCTCGGAACTGTGCCCACGCTAAATCTTGCCTCACAAGTTTCTTGCGCAGGTGTAATACTGCATGCTCCTATGACTTCGGCTCTTCAAGTCGCTTGTGGTGAACAGAGATGCTGCAGATGCTGGGACTCTTTCAACAAGTATGTTTTCCTCTCAAATTAAGTACAATAATAACCGTTTAGTGTGATCACGTTTGTCCACGACTAGTTTGATAACATTAATCGAATGGCAACATTAAATGATGAGAAAATATATTCTCAAAACAGCAATGGAATTTGACTGATTTAATTAAAAATATCGAGAAACATATAAATAGGCTTTTTCACAGCATTTTATTTAGGAAAATGCAAAAAACTGGGTACTTACGTACTATGACGACTACCTTGGCAACATTTACCGATAAAAGTCTTTGTAGAGTCCAGATGGGTTAACTTCTATTTGAAATTCGAGTAGCAGGAAACTATATAGGAGAAGGGTTAAAGTATCCTTTATTAACTCTTTAAACTTTACAATGCGTCAACTCGACGCTAACAAACTTCGCCTCTGCTTGGGCGGTAACTGAAAATCACGTAATTAAACTAAAATTTGAAGATATTAACAAACGATTGATCTAGACTACAGGGCTCAGCGAGATCCTATAACTTAAACCCCCTCTGAAGCTAGTGGCAGCAGATAAATGCACTTAAGCCACTTGAACCAGCAACAAGCAAACGTACCTACGGCAGAGACGGCAGCTAAAGCCCAACTCTCTCTTTCTCCTACCGAAGACTCGGCTTTTAACTACTTCCTTCAAGTATATAAAATTATGCATTTCCTTCACGCGCGCTATAACACGTTTTAACTATTCTGGCAATGACAATTGAGGGGAATGAAGGCCTTACAGGAACGGAATTCTAAAACTTCAAACTTTAAAATTGTTAGTTAAAATAAATATAAATTCCTACATCTTCATTGGCGTTTTTTTTGGTTTATGTTTATAAATGCTTTTAAAAATAAAAGCCCTAATTATAAAGGAACAAAAACTTAAAAAACCAAAAATCCCGAATATATATATACATATTATAAATAAACGTGTATATATATATATATTAACTATATACTAAGGTACGAGTTAATATATATATATAGATATATATTAACTATATACTATATATATTAACTATATACTAAGTATATATATATATTAACTATATACTAAGTACGAGTTAATATATATATATATATATATTAAGTATATACTAAATGCGAGTCAAAAAATTAAAATGATCTTACTTAAAACTGCTTAAAAGAAAACATTGATGTTAATGTTGAGGAAAATGGCGAGAAATAGCTTTCAAAATAACATCGAAAGGCGTTTCCTGTTTTTTTCTGGCAAAATAAATTCAGCTAAATAGGTATCCAACTGATGGCGGCTTGTTCCACGTTGTCGCTTGTTCATCCATTTTGTGAAAACCCACATCCTTTCAACGTGTTCAGTATGAGTCTGCGCAGATGGGTCAACAAAATTGTATCGATGACTCACCTTAAAATGTTCAAAACCGGCAGCAATGAGCTCCTCTGTTTGATAACCAGGCCACGAACCTGACATTATTGTTGAGCTTTCAGCAATATTATTTTGGATTTCATGCATTAATGTTGTTGCCTTCCGGTCTGGAACTCTGACTAGAAATGTTTCTTTTGTCACCGAAGACCCACTGTTGTGACCAGATACGACCTTGATTATTCGTTCGACGGGTAAAAAGGCTTTCGTCAATTTCGACAATCATTCCGGGTTCTCCAATTTTAATATTTCGATTATCCTGCAAATCCTCTAACTATTCCAATCAATAGCAGTCTTATCGGATAAATCCAACTGGTGTTTGCACCATTTAATGCATGACTGTTTATGTGCCTAAAAGAAATAAATCTTAAAGCTTTTAAAAATTCAATACGACTGTTTTCAAACCACGTATCATTCGGACACCAAACTTTTGCTGGCAATTTTTGACATTGCATCTCCAATAAAGACCTAAATTAAAAACTTCATATCATGGCCGTTTTTACAAATGCATTCTTTGGGTAAAATTCCAGCCTCTCTGAAAAATTCTATCGCTTCTTCATTTGAAGGAAGTTGGAAAATGTTGATATCTATTGGGAAAAAAGTAATCACAAAACGTTTCACGTGTTTAACCTAAACGTAATAATTCGTGTACATGTAGCAAAAAAAGGTGTGGTAATAGCAAGTGCGGAACTAGTGCGGGATAATACTCCTTATTTTAGCGGCATCTACAACACATGTTAGTTTTAACCTGTATAAATTACAAGGGTCGCGTTGCGTAAGTACCAAAAATTGTTTATGATGTCAGTATGTCTTTAATACTCAAGTTCATTTATGTATTGTTCATATTTCTAGAAATTAATTCACTGGAAGAGAACATGCAAATGAAAAAAATTTTAATTAGGCAAAAAATTCAATGTTAGTTTGACATAAATGTTTTCACTGGAATTTTTTAGGGCTCAGGATAATAAAATATTCGGCAGAATTTTTTTGCTTTCGTAGAGGGACTTGTATCTAATCATTAAAAAATCAAAGTGTTGTTAAAATTCTAAAACAAATTGGTACTTTTCCATTTTGCCGGCGCAAACCTCGCCAAGCAGACTATTGGCGACAACACAAAGTATACACATATAAAATTTTAATAATGCTTAAAATTAGGCCAAGCGGATTTTATGGACAACACAGAGTATGCACATAAAAAATGTTAACAAATGTTAGTTCTAAGAATTGTTTACTTATCTAAGGTTTGTCTATTTTTATGCAATTCTTATATATTAATTTGGTACTTTTCCGTTTTGCCGGCGCAAGCGATAAAGTCGCCAATAATGATACAACCGATGCTAAACGGAATATTTTCGCTGGTAACCTTTTACGCCTCATTTTGAAAACAAGTGGCAGCTTTTTCTTATCAGATTGATTGTTTCTTTCAATACTGACATATAATTACATAGAATTTTTATCAGATAGTTCAGTTTTATGTCTAAGGCCATTTTCGGTAATTAAGTCAATTAGGATGCAATCACAGCGCTTACCCGAAGCCGAAAATATAGAAAAGGAAAAATCAAGGGTTAAATTCATCAATTGTAATGAGAATGCATTAGCGAAGTAAAGCACTGCAGTTTTACATAATTTCTGAGTAAGCTATTCGTACGAATTGAAATATTTCTTGCATTTAAACTTGTTTTCCAAATTTAGATTTAACTTGAAATTAATGTAGATAATGGCTGAGAGCATTAGATTTTTGTAGAGTAGTTTACGTGAGATGAGATCGCTTGGGGTCACGTGATATGAACGGGCGAATCAGAATGTTGAACCATGAAAGCATAGTAAATTCTTAAATTGATGTCTTTTTAGAAATTTATTGTCTTTATTTATTGGCTTTTTACAAAATTTTAAGCGATATTAAAATGTTTATGCCTTCAAAAAAAAGAATTCTTAGAACTAACATTTTTTAAAATATTTTTTATGTGTATACTGTATGTTGTCGCCAATAAATTCTGCTTGGCGAGATTTGCGCCGGCGAAACGGAAAAGTACCATTAATTTTTATCTTTTATCTTTATCTAAGAATTTGTTACTTTCTTTATTTGAAGGAAGCATATGGTAGGGTACGAACTGCGCGAAATTTGATCGAAGATCCTCCCCCCTTTTATCTAATAGACGAACTGCGCGACTTTTTCCTGTCCCCTCTTTCTAAGAACTTGAATTCCCAAGAAGATTGGGTGCTACAAAAAGTCCTTTATCGCTATTAAGGGGGCATTTTATTGAGACTGCAAGCCTCTATTTTCGTTTATCAATATTGTAAAAAATTGAACATCCAAAACAAATATTAATTTAATGTCTGGCGTGTGCATGAAATGAATTTCTTTTACACTCACTTTAAAGTTTCATTATGAGCCAGATCTTTTTTTATTCTCTGTAAGAATTAAAAATTTTCCAAGTTGTAGATTTTAGTCGCTGATATACTATATGTTACCGTGAAAGACCGAAATTGGAGAATGTCGACTTTCACCGAAGAATATCAACATTCACCAAATACGTTGGTGAAAGACCGAATATTTCACTACATTCTTGTATATTCGGACCCTCACCGGTATATGTCGACAATCACTGATATGCTCTGGTGAAAGTCGAAAAGAGAGGTCATAAAGTGCCATAATAGTTTAAGTTGTTGCAATAAATAAGATTTGAATCACATAATTTAGTAAGTTTTTTATGACTGTTATTTTATTTTCTCATTTAGAACGTACTGTATAATTAAGTAAGTTTTTAACTTCTATTATTTTCCTTTCTCATTTTGAATGTATTGTGTGTTTTAGGTTCTCATGTTCTTAAGTTCTTATTTCAAGTCTCAAGTGCGTTTATTCGCGACTGAATTACGGAGAAGAAAATATAATATTGTTATATGTTTAACATTCACCATTAGTACATGGTGAATGTCGACATTGACCGATATAAGTCAGAAAAAAGAGTATTTGGAAAATATTTCGGACATACACCAAGAGACTATGTGAATGTTGACATTCACCGGTGAAAGTCGACATTCTCCAGATTTCGGTGTTTCACCGTAACATATATATATAGTTTTGAATAATAAAATTGATAGATTAATGACATACACAAAACTGATACATAATGAACCTATCAAATATCGGATTTGTAGCGCATTTTAAATAAGTTTGTTTTCTAGATAAATAATCTAGATAATTTGTTAATCTGTCTAGATTAACAAATCTTCTTAGATAGCAGATTGGTTTTAACTTTCAAATTTACCATTTTAGGTAAACAGTTCCAATTTAATTTAAACAATTCTCTTTATTAAATCTAAAAATTGAATTTCTTAAATGGTTCTAAATTCACACTAACAATTATTTCAATATATTGCCGTATTAAGCTTTCCATTTTTAGTTATTGAAGTTATTTTAAAGTTTTTTAACTTTCTTACAAAGTCCATATTTTAATACTAGAAACGTTTAAATATTTATTCTGTTTTTCCAGTTTCTCTACCTGATGTACTTTGGCATACATTTAATTTCTAATACACATTTAATTAATAAATTGATAATTATCAGCATCTGCAGAATTTTTACAATTAACAAACAAAAAAAATCGAACTCCCTTATATC